TTTCCTGGATTTTTTTTCCTCATTTTGTCTGTCATAGTTGACGTGTACCTATGATGAAAATTACAGGCCTCTGTCATCTTTTTAAGTGGGAGAACTTGCACAATTGGTGGCTGACTAAATACTTTTTTTCCCTACTGTATGTGTATGCGACCAATAACATTTGATTTTGATCTGATTTTAATGTGATTGATTGAGTTGAACTTGTCTTGCATTCAATTCAGTAGAACTTTATTAACCACAAAGAGCAATTTGGTTGGAGCTCATTACATGTATCATTCCTACATATAAAAAAGGAAGTCTGAAAAGACCCCTGACCCCTGACCCCTCTCTCCCTCCTCTCCTCAGGCACGGTGGGTGGGCAGTCATCGGGCCCTCAGGAGTACGGGGCCGTGGGCGGGGGCCCCTCTACCCCAGCGTCGTCCTCAGCCATGTGGTCCTGCCTCCACTGCACCTTTATGAACCAGCCAGGCACAGAGTTCTGTGAGATGTGCAGCCTGCCGAGGGGTTAAACCCCATCCCTCCTGTGGCCCCCTGCGCTGTTTCCCTAACACCTCTACCACCCGGTCTCCAGCCCGGCCCGCTTCCTTACGCACATCATCGCACCGGGATTGGATACTGCAAACAGCTGCGTGATTGGATGTCTCCTCCTCTTGGCCCCTGGCTCTCTGTCCCTCCCATCTGACTGCTATGGGGTTGACAAGCGCAAAACGAATGGCGTTCGTTTCCACCAAATCAAGTGATTTAACAAATGACTGTGCTCTCATCTCTCGCACGCTCTGCCGTGGCCCCCTGACTGAGACTGGCTGGGACATGTTTAGCTAAAAGCACTTTGGCAACAAGGCTTCTTCTTCCCTCTTCCTCCCCGTGGCCCCTTATATTCCTCTATGACCTGGCTCCAATAAACGTTGCTGTGCTTCAGGACAACAGCAAAAATAAAGACTTTACAATTTGAAGTTCTCACTCACACCGACCAGTGCCCCCCCACTCGCTCTCACGACTTAATCTGGAAAGTCTGTGTAAATAATATACATTATTTGAGGAATGATTGATTGCTGTTTATTTAATTGCACATGAAGTGTTTTGTTTTCCTGGTTGTAGCTACAGTATATATTGGGACTTTTGGAATCTGCTTGGGTCTGTTTTTCTCAGCCAGATAGTTTTTTGTAGAACTCTCACTCATTCTCCAACAGTTATCAGACAGTGACGGTCTATCCATAAGATCTCTTGATTGGCCCAAACCTCTTCAGAGTTATTAAACTATCAGGCTCTTCAGTATCATAAACCTAACTTCTTTATTTAGTCTTTTGTATTGCAGGAGTGATGTGTTCTTGGTTGCTCAGGCACTTCCCCTAAGTTGATGCCCTGACCTCAGGAGTGAGTTTGGAGAGATGGGTCCTAGCGTTAATGAAACCATTAGATTTTGGGTTATTTGTTAACTTTGCTAATGGTATACCTCCAGTTGAAGCTTATACTGTATAGTACGCCATATTTGTTTTGATGGCAGCTTTGAGATGCTTACTTACTGGGTTAGCTACCAACGCTGCACCTCTTTCTCTCCTTTCCTCTCTTCTTGCATCGGTTCTCCTCTCTTTCGACTGGCGCTCGTCCAGAGGGGCCAGACCATATAGAATGGGTTTTTTCCTCTGACGGGCCCCTATGGATCTCCATCACTCTGCCTTCAAAGATACCTTAATGGTCCATGCCTTCCAGCAGGCCAATGTGCTGTGCACCTGGGATGGAGAGAGGAAGGAAGATGGCGAGGGAAGGAGGGAGGGAGAAAGAGAGATTGCGAAGGAATGGAGAAAGATGGCGGCCAGGCAGGGTTAAGAGCTCAGGGTGTGTTTGCTTCTGTTACAGAGAACCAATATTTTCTCTCCACACTAACAGCTGTAAAACTGAACTCATTCCAACGGTAGTAATTTGACGTCAAATAACTGATGTCCACAGCACAGGCAATTCAGTAGGGAATGTTTTCTCTTCTCATGCCCCCGTTTAGATACAGGTTACAATGATCCAGGTACCCCATTTAATGTCTGAGAATAGGAACGGGTTAGTGGTTAGCACGGACAAGTACTTATTCCAGAGTATCTCTTGGTCAGCGCTGGGGAGGTGTGTGTGTCACTTCTCATAGATCGCTGATTCAATTAATTCAGCTTTATATTCTTGAAATAAAGTGCCCAAACCTTTACACTGCTATTTTGATGGCATTCAATGAAATCCTTGGTTTGATTTGTTTTATTTATAATTTGACACTGTAGCAGTCAGATTTAGTCCAACAGATACCTCAACTTTTTCCAGCCTTCAAATATTTCCTTTTGAGGGACTTTGGTCTAAATATGTAGCGAGCGCATGTCCAAGCGGTTGAGCCTGTCGTCACTTGAGGTTTCCTTCCATTTTGGGGCTGCTATCAGTAAATTGTCCTTCTCAGTTGAATGGAGAGGTGGGGTCATGGGTTTCAAATAATGCTATTTATAAAGATTTGCTTTTTTGTAAGCGCTCGGGAGTAATTTCCATTGGAAAAAGTGAGTGTTTTTAGTTTGTAGATTAAATTTGAAAATGGTCTAAGGTTATTTTGCCTGTTTCCCCTGTGTGAGTTGTTGAGAAAGATTATCTGAAAATGCATAAATTAAGTCCCAGCTCTGGTCCAGTGGTTTACGTGCGGCTTGTTGATGCTGAGTTTCAGCCACACGTAACGCCCTGGACCAGAGCTACATAAAGCCTAACTTCCCCCTCTGAGCTGAAGAATGGGACCCTGAAAGAAAGTTGTATGATGCTGTAGATCTGGATTTTAATTTAATATCAGAAATACCAGTCAAACAATAAACAATTCCTATCAATGGAGCACAGTGTTTGTTTTGTTGATTCACCCTGGAAGAAAGAACAGTTGTACTTTTAGGCTGATTTTGTCCTCTTAGCGGAGTGGTTAAGGTCGGCCCTCCAACCGCGGCACGTAGCCTAGCCGTTAGGAGCGTTGGGCCAGTAACCGAAAGGTTGCTGGTTCAGATCCCCGAGCTGACTAGGTGAAGTCTGTCTGTGCCCTTGAGCAAGGCACTTAACCCTAATTGTTCCTGTAAGGCACTCTGGATAAGAGCATCTGCTAAATGACTAAAATGTGAATTGCTGTACGGTGTTCTGCCTCAGAATGCATGTGTACTCTGAATCTTCAACCACTGTGTCGCTTTTCAAGCAGCACCTCCACAAACTATTTCCCTTTAATTTACTTTTGGTGGCTTCTTTGAGCTCGTTAACAGATTGTTTTTCTGATTTGGGTAATTTTTTTCTCCATGCGCTTGACCAGACCCTGTATTAGGTGTTTTATCTTTGGTGCTAGCATATCCGATAGTTATCACTATTTTTAACACTTTAGTGTCTAGAGAAAGTATTCATACCCCTTGACTTATTCCACATTTTTGTTGTTACAGCCTGAATTCAAAATGGATTCAATTGTCTCTCACCCATCTACACAAGAAACCCCATAATGACAAAGTGAAAACATGTTTAGAAATGTTGGCCAGTGTATTCAAAATGAAATACAGATCTAATTTACATACATATTTACACCCGAGTCAATACTTTGTAGAAGCACCTTTTGGTGACGTCGTCTTGGGTATGTCTATCAGCTTTGCACATCTGGATTTGGGGATTTTCTCCCATTGTTCCTTGCAGATTTTCTTAATCTTTTAAATTAGATGGGGAGCAGCAGTGAACATGCACTGTGTGTAGATGGATGGGTGAGCATTAAGTCAAGGGATACAAATACTTTTTGAAGGCACTGTAGCAGCTATTTCTACCATGCATGGAACCCAACTCTGATTTTGTGACCCCTTACTGGTTATATCCAAATAAGCCAAGTTTTTACTGTGTTTTCAAAGGCATTTTAAAATAGATATCATTTTAGCCATAAAGATAGCAAGGATGTATTTAATGTCACTACTTCATCTATTTTCATTCTATCTAATAGTCTGTGTCACAATGTACTCCACCTTTACTGCTGCCATGCTGTCTTGACCATTCGGTCTTTTACGAGGGGCAGTGCATGTTATGGAGTAGTCAAACAGTTTATCGCCACCGACCGTCGGACACACTGACTAGTCTCAACAGGACCCAAATGGGAAGCAGATAAAGCCTCTTGTGGGTTGAGAGTGCAATTGCCATTTACGTCACATGCATCTCACAACATGGAGTAAAGTTAATGACGGAACAAGGGAGAGAATACTGGGGTTAACCATTCTATTGATTCTACTTATGAATTCCAAACTGACCCGTAAACATTCCTGTGGACCTGAATACGTCACATAGGTGCTGTGAGATGTGTTGTTTTACAGGGTCAGACGTAGTAGCACAGCACCCCTGGAGTAAATTAGGGTTACGTGCCTTGCCCAAGGACAGATTGTTGTACCTCGTCGGCTCGGGTATTTGAACCAGCGACTTTTCGGTTACTGGCCCAACGCTCTAACCGCTAGGCTACCTGCTGCCATGTTATGATCAATGGACAATTAAAAATAATGACGTGGATGCCTGTGCCAATTTTCTCATAGGGGGCGGAGACATGGAGGACACCCTTCTCTTGGAGAGACCTCAGTGTGAGGTCATATTGACTGTATATATGCAGGTCCCTCTGTCGGCGCGCCACACACCGTTGCACTACTGTGGGATTATCGAAAACACAATGAAAAGGTAAGTGGTGAACAATACTGTGAGAAAATAATCAGGTTATTAGACATTCCTTATAAGACGATAGAATGGATGTTTGCAGAGCAATTCAAACTGTTACATTATTACATTTACATTACATTTACGTCATTTAGCAGACGCTCTTATCCAGAGCGACTTACAAATAGGTGCATTCACCTTATAGCCAGTGGGATCACCACTTTACAATGTTGTTTTTTTTTTTTGGGGGGGGGGGGGGGGGGGGGGGGTTGGGGTTTGGGTTGGGGTAAGGGTGGTTAGAAGGATTATACCTCACATGATATAATCATATTTGTTCTGATTTGAGGATGAGGACTGCGGTGGCTTTGTTGTGCCTGGTGGCTCTGTGTGCAGCGCAGAAGAGGAGGAGAACTGAACAGAACTCCGAATGGGACTACAGGACTGAGGGTGAGTGGCTGCCTGGTCCGGTTTTCATTTCAGAATCAGAAAGTAACGCTCCCTACACTTTCAATGCATTTTTCAGCAAAAGGTGGGTGAACCCTCGTGCATCATTTTTGAAAAAAGGTGCATAAACTGTGTTTACGGTCGTGTGTGTGTGTGCGTGCGGGGCTTAGTAGGTAGAGCATTGCACTTGCAACGCCAGGGTTGTGGGTTGATTCCCACGGGGGACCAGTACGAACAAATATGAAAATGTATGCACTCCCTACTGTAAGTCGCTCTGGATAAGCTCTTCTTCTAAAATGTAAAAAATGTACTTGTTTACCCTCCACTACACCACTGGGGATCATCCTCAGTCATGATTTGCTCTTTTGCATTCCTTGGTTGCTGATGTATTCTTTAGACATGACAAGGTAGACAGAAATCTGCACAGGGGTGTTAAGGCGTTGTTAGAAGTACAGCTTGTGATGCCAAACACAATCAATAAAATGTAATGATTACCCCCCCCTCCCCCTCCCCCTCCCTCTCCCTTTCTGTTCATGCCACTGCAGCAGGGAAGGTGAACACTAGAGGCTGTGCCAACCTCACCCTGGTGTTGGACAACTGGAAGTTTGCTATCATGAACCAAGTCAAAGACCTTCTCCTCAACGACCACAGCACTGTGCTGCCTGATTACGGGAGGTGGGTATATCCTATTTAGTTGGTTTTTAGATTTGAGAAGTTAATTGGTGAGATCAGACATTTTAACATACTTGTATGATTGGATAAATAGAAAGAGGAGATACTTCACTGTATTTATTACAAAGCTCATTACTTTGGACATGTACCTTTTTTAGCTTTAGTCAGATCCCAAGAAGACTGTTATTATAACATGTAACTTGTTTTCGCACTGTAATGGACTGTAGTTTTCTCCCCCACCGTCCCTTCCTCCACCAGGATCCCTCCTCTATCAGATGCCCTCGGAGATCTCTACAAGGAGTTTAATGCTCTGAAGGAGCGTCTTGGGGAGCTGACCACCAAGTTTGAGGGAGTCGAGGGCTTCGTGGATGACGTGAGGGCAGGAAGAAGCCCCTACCCTCCCAGAGCAGAGCCCCGCCCACTGACACCAGAGGAGGAGAACCAGAACACCACGCTGACTGGAACCGGAGAGGGAACCGGTACCGGCACCAGTACTAGACGCAGGCACCGTGTGGTGGTCCGGAGGGTCAAGATACCTGCTAATGGTGCCCTGGTCTAAGCGGTTGGACTCTGTCCACAACCATCCATACTCTCTCCACCTAAAACTCAGTGGTGAAAATGACAATATAATTCCCTCTAAGCACTCAAAACTGAAAATACATTGCATATCACTCAATTAATTGTAAAAGCAACATACAGTAGGCTATACAGTAAAAATGTATTGCTTTCCCCTTTCCCTCAATGGACTCCAAATCACATTTTATTTCAAAACACATACTGTGGGAGACAAGTTGTAAATATTGTTTTGCTGTTCCACATTTTTACCTGTGGAGGAATCTGATAACCTTTTTGTCGATAGGTGGCACCACAGTGTGTCCAATGACTATGCCACACGTTTTGTGGCTCGCTTCATTAAGGTTCCCTGTGAGGAGTTGATATTTTACAATATAATTATTTGTCATGTGTTGTTTTTATCGAATTATTGTCTTATCATACTATTGTACTGGCATGTCATCACCGTTTTTACATCTGCATATGAATGATATCCCCCCCCCCCCCCCCCCCCCCCCCCACAATACTTTTATTTAGAAAAACGAGTCAGCAGATTCGTTGAGGGATTTTTATTTTGAAAAGGCCTTCCGTTGCTGGAACAGGAGTCACTTACCCTGCTCACTGACTGCTTCATTCTCACTTTCAGTTGTATATAAACGCTGGATTGCTGATGCTATGTATTGGCCATTGAGAGGCTTTCGAAGCCACTGGTCGGCCATATTGTCACAGTCCTCCATAGGAATGAATGGAATTCTACAGTATTTCAATTAAATGTTTCAAGGACAAAATTACATGTATTTGAGTATTTTGTTGTTGTAGTGGGGCCAGTAATATTAGTAATACAAATAAATTATGCTTTAAGGAAAATATTTGTATATATCTTTTCAGTTTTTATTTGTATGTTTAGCTCACATAACATAATTTAAAAGAATGCATTAAGGTGTCTGTAATAGAATAAATGTGGCAAAAATTAATTTAGACATTAATAAATGCATTTTTCTATAGCTTCCAAAATGTGTTTTACACTGGTGGGGGAGTGCCAAGATGGAGGCAAGGTGGCTTGAACACAGCGCCCCCTATTTGTCATCTAGTGTATATATAAATCATTGGTTTGTTACAAATAGTGTGGTAGTGTGTGAAAAAGCACTGTGCTAGAGGTCTTCACATTTTCAACAGACCAAAGCAGGTCCTGGTCCTAAATTCGGACTTTTGTCTCGGGTCGGGTCTGATTATAATTGCCATGGGTCTCAGGTATGTGCAGTTAAACTGTATTTACCGACTGGACCCGATTGGACCTGTCCTCTGTTAATTTAGTGTTTGTGTGATGAGAAGTGCGCCAGCTTGTTATTCGTGTCAGCCAATTGCAATTCAATAAAACGTATAGCTTATATCCAGCTGAAACTGTTTCCGGCTGCTCAACACAAGTGCGCCTGCTGCTGTGGAGAGAGAGAGAGCTATTAAAAGTTTACTATCTCTCTCTCTCTCTCTCCTCAGCAGCAGGAGCACTTGAGGTGAGCAGCCACTTGAGGTGATTCAACTCTGACTTCCCAGAGTTGATATTCCGTGACAGTCCTTTTTCATTGAAGTAAAACTAAAGTTAGTGGAGAAAGAATATAGTGAAAAGAAGCTGAGAAAGGGAATGTCCTCGGGGACGTTTTAACATTGTAGTGGACAAAGATGAGAATGTTGGTGACCACATGGACTGTGTGCAACTGGCTATTCAGGTTTGATTCAGTTTTTTACCTTTCATTTATTTATTTTCGTATTTATTATCAATTGTTTATTTTTGTATTGTAGATAAGTATTGTAGACGTCATTATTATTATTGTAAATCATTATTATTGTAAGCCTATTTAATAATATAAACCAGTTATTTAAATAGTGTTTTGTTTCATTTTCTTGAGACATTCTCATTGGCTAAATTAAGTTGTGTCTTTAATTTTGTGCTCTGTATTTAGTTGAAGGTTAAAAGTAGGACTGTTGTTAAATAAATATCCTATCATTAGCCTATTGCTGTTATTTGTTGGGTAGGTCTATGTGGTTGGCAATCGACTTTGTTGGTAATTAATGTAATGCTGCATATATAATAACCTGTTCGTATTTTCTCTATAAACATTGACTTGACTTACTTTTGATATTACCTTAATAAAGTTTAGCAACTTTTGTGAAGGTTTGGTCTGGTAGAGATATTATGAGGCTTAGCTATAGCAGGAAGGAAGTACGCACCGGCACTCCAACTGACTGCCACAGTTGAACTTGAGGTGAGGAAGAATGTTTTAGGCCCTACCAGAGTTACGAGTTACTCCTTTGATATAACAATATAATGCTTATCTTTATAAAATATATTCTGATTAGAAAATTAACAAATTAGCCTCCTTCTGTATGCCTGTATCTGCATAGCAGCAGTAGACAATCTGACAAGTATAAAGAAATTCATGTCAATGTCGGGAACATGGTACCAGCACATCTCTATCTTTCTCTCTGGTCTCTCTTGGGGCATAAGCTTGTCTCCTTTAATATTTGTTAAATATGAATATCATACAGTGGACGCCTATAGGCCTACATGCATGCAATGCCCTGATGCATTTATCGCTCAAATCTTCGACAGCTGAACCGTGAGGCAGACAACTATTGTTTTAGTAAAGTAAAAACCAATAAAACCATGGACTATACAGTATTTATTATGCTTCACTTAGAAACACAACTAATATTTTTTGGGAATTTGTTATATGCCGTTTGTAAGGACATGCAACTTTCATTTGGATCATTTGGCCAATATGCTTGTTTATTGATGGCACTGGCGGCGCCCAGTTTGAGATTTCTTTCTCTTTCTCTAGGATCTGAACGGGTCTCTCGGATCCGAACCTGCTCGTGTCTGTTTGGTTCTTTTTTCCACGGTCCTTTTCAGAACGGGTCTGACTGTCCTCAGGTCCATTCGGAATGGGTCTCTGTTTTTTATTTTTTATTTTGCATATCGGGTCAGGTGGGAAAGCCACAGATCCATTTCAGAATGGATCCAACTTTTTGGACCCGTGAAGACCTCTACCAGGAAGTCTGAAAAGACAAACTGAGTGGGCGGGGAGCTCACCTTGACTGACAGTGAAAAAGCCTATGTCGAGCAACATGGTTGCAGTGAGACTATCTCAAGCAAATTTGCTGATACACAAAGCAACTCAAACAACATTGAAATGGCATGTTGGCTATATAATTTAGCTAGCTAGCACAAATGGAATTGTCAGCACTGTTTATCAAGCTAGCTAGCTAGTTCATCTTGGACAATTTTAGTTAAAGGCGGTACATATTTAAATTAGGTAAGAGAATACGCCATTACCGTTGGTGTATTAAAGCTGCAATATGCAACTTTTTGGGCGACCTGACCAAATTCACATATAAATGTGAGTTATAGATCTCATTCTCATTGAACGGAAGTCTAAGAAGCGGTAGATCTGTTCTATGTGTGCTATTTCTATGCTTCCTGTTCTTAAGTTTAGATTTAGCGTCTTTTACTTTCGGTTTTGTATAGCAGCTTCAAACAGCTGAAAATACAATATTTTTGGTTAAGGAAAATATATATTTCACAGTGGTTTAGATGGTACAATGATTTTCTACACAATGACTGCTGTTTTTGTCATCTAAACTGAAATTAGCAACCAGGAAATGGCGGAGCAATTTCTGCATATTGCACCTTTAACATTAGCAACTCAAATAATCCCACCTCCTGAATCTGAGTGTTTGACATGGGTGAGGGGACCAGTAACTTTATGATCAAACTTTATCAATGTAGAAGCAATACATTTTTCATACTTTGGTAGTCCTACTTTGATCTGGTTTCATCACAAATATCACATTTAATGAAAAACATGATTTTGACTGTTCGGGACCTTTAAAAGAGCATATGAACATTGTTTCCAGAGAAAAGTTATATATTCTTTGGTATCTGGAAGTGTGACCTGTCAGATTCAATGAAACTATCATGTTCTATGACTGAGTGGAATTTCTTTGAATTTCACTGATTTAAATTCTACTTCCTGTCACTCAAACTCAAATTTAAATTCGACATCCTGTGGGGTGTGGCAAATTCTATTAGAATTTCAACTCGTGTTGAATGGCAGTCAATTAAAAACATTATGAATTGATCCCAACCCTGTTACCTGCAGTTTACGTTGATAGATCTATCGATTTCAATCTGACAGCAAAAAACTTTAAGATATTGCAGTAATAGTTGAACACTACACGTTGGCAGTATAAGGCACATTGTCAATAACATTATCTCTTGAAACACAAGTCAATGAAGGATCTTTCAAATTGGTACCCTGATCTTCCATACAGTAAGTAGTCAAATCAGAGCTATTATTGGTAAAAGGCAGAATGGCATGAGAGATAACTCACCCACGAGGTTGCAGGTAGGTCTTACATGATGTCATTTGTAATGAGTATATAGGAGAGGAGGCTCTCTCAGTGCCACATTCCCTTCCTTTAAACCTGTTTAGCAGGTTTAACTTCTAAAGCAGTTTAGAAGGAAGCAGAGGAAAAAATTACGGACAAAAAGTTTCTGAGGATAGTGCATATTATTGTTTTATTTACAGCATGGAAAGTGTTTTAACAAGTTACAATAGGAAATGATCAAATTGGGTATACATAAAACTATTATAATTAGATGTAGAGTCGACCCAATTGTTATTCTGAACATATCTATCACAGTAGGCCTGGTTACATTTGATTTCCAGAGTTATCTAAACTGAATACTTTGGGATTTTGGCAATGAGGCCCTTTATCTACCTCCCCAATGTCAGATGAACTCATGGATAACATTTTTATTATTTTCTGTGTCAAGTATGAAGGAAGTTAGAGGTAGCTTAGCGAGCCAATGCTAAATTGCCAATGCCAATGCTAACTCATGGGATCATATCAAGAAAAATGGCAAGTCATCCACGGATTATTCAAGAGTGGGAGGACGATAGGAAAAAACTACCCGCCCTCCAGGACACCTACAGCACCCGATGTCAC